GCCTGGCTCCGGCCAGCCCTGCCGCTCCGCTCTTGGCGGGCGCAGGCCAAACGTGCGGGGGGCTCTCCGTTTTGGATAGATCACTTGTGACATTAATAGCTCTGGGAAGGCTAATAGATACAACAGGAGTTAAACGAACTCTTGAGATTACTAATAAAAGAGCCAATTATCATGTCGACTTGGAAAGAGCATCTCTTAAGATTTATCCCTTGCACATCTAATTTGACGTGACAAAGGCTTCACAGATGGGGGGGGGGAATGAAACTTTAAACTGGCTGACTGTACAGTGACCAGGGTTAGAAAGGAGAACAGCTTTATATAGCATCTCTCTCTGGTGGTGTCCAGCATACCCAGACAGCAGAGCGTTGCCAGCGTAGTGCGGATGTGGCACTCCTCGGAGCAAGCGCTAGCTAAGCATCCAGCCCAGTGAGTTTTACTCCAACAACGGCTCGCTACACCAGATCCAAATGCAAACCAATCACTTTCCACCTTTACACCAAGAACCTCCTTTGCAAAGTACCCTGTGCAATCCTTCTCAGTCCTGCAGCCCTCTGAATAAAGAGGTGAAAACGCCTTCCAGGCCTGAATGAAAGCCCACCGTAAATATTTTGCCCGATTCGGGGACCAGTTTCGAAGCACTCAGTTTCAAGCGAAGCAAACACACAAAGCCAACAAAACCGAACCGCCTCGGCAGAGATCAGTTTCCAGCAACTCGCCCCCTTTTCTCCAACAGCCCATCTAATCACCGCTGTGATTTAAATACGAAAACCCGAAGAACAAGGAACAGCGTTTTCTCTGTCAGAGCCCAGTTTCCCGACAACGATTAAGCAGCTTCACTCAGCCGGACGCGCGGTCAAACCACGAAACCGAATTGTCTGCTAATGCCCTCAAATACTGGGGCTGCTCGGCTAGATCCTCTGCTAACGTTTCCCGCGTTAACCACGACAATGGTAAAAACGCCCCGCAAAGGCGGCCGTCTAGAGGAGGGCAGGTTTCGGGCCGGCTCGCCCGCTTGCTTCCCCTGCCTCCAGCCGGTGCCATGGGGCACAGCCCGGGGACCTCCTCTCCGGCAGCGCGGA